GTGTGTGCTGGTGTACCACAGTCTCATGAGGCGGAGCTGCACTCACACACTGTGTCACATTATCTCTCTTCACACTTTGTCTCAGTGGAGATGATATTGCTTTAAATGGAATGTTCCACAGTATGGCATTAGTTAAATTACAGCGTTTTTATTTCTCAAAATTACCTGTATGAGACACGTCCACGTCTTCATACAAATGTTCAGACCCATACTGGGGAGTTTTACAGGAAAAGAAAGATTTCTACAACAGCACCTTAAAGGTTGTACTATGTCATCTTTCTAATATGTAATCTTTCTGCTTGTCTCCATGGAGATGCTACTGCTTTGTCTCACATGTTCCACAGCATAGCATTAAACATAGGCTATTTATGTTGGATTTGATCACTTTTTTTAATGGCTAAAAGCAAATATAAGGTGGAAGGTGGAAGATTCCAAGTAAAACAATATCATCTCTATGGAAACCAGCCGCTGGCAGACACTAAAAATGTTACACATTGCAGCTTTTCAAACACCATGTTTTCTCAGCATTGTACACATGCTGCTGTGCTTTGACCTGAGGACTAGAGCACTCACATCCACATGAGCACAAGATGAACATGAACAGATGAACAGATGCTCCTCTGTTTAAAAGTGATGACACGGCCCAGCTGTTGAAACCATACGTTTACTGTACTGTGGATGTGCACAGAGTGGATTTGTGCTTTTGAACAATTATACTACTCTCTGGAAAACATCCAAACTAGGTAGTCTTGTAGTACACAAATGCTGACATGTTTCAGATTCTCTGTATCCTCCGGCACGTGACATGTCCTGCAGGCTCTTTCCTCTGAGGAGATCAGGGTTATCTTAAGAGCTGGTAGGAGAATAGTGCCATCTGCAGTCTGACTTCTCCAGGACATCATCCCAGGTCCTCAAAAACTAATAGGCCCCTCGTCCCTCTTTATGTGCTATTATGGTCTATTTTACTGCCAAAGATCAGCTGAGACATGTCACCATAACATCACGTGACCTTCAGAAGGTCACGAAACAGAAGGCGTCTGAAAGAGTTAGTGTATGTGACACAACACTAGTCTGTTAAAAAGAACCTTTCATTAGAAATAAAACTGGAAGACCAAAATGAACCTCTTTGACGTGAATATCCAATCAATGTCTATTTAAAATGCAGTAAAGAGCTCTCCACAGATTTCAGATTGGAAATATGAAGTGACAGTGTTGGTTCTGCCTGGTCTCCTCAAACAGCTGCTCAGACATCTGCTCCTGTCACTAATACAAACACTTGAAACATCTCCACTTGATCTGACCAGGATACAGGAGGAGGAGAGCTTCAGAAACTGTGGCCAGAGTTTAAACCCTGCAGCAGTTTACGGGGGCATCACCCTCAAAGTGATGTCACTGCAAAGAATCAAAAAGCCCTTGACATTATAACATTGTCAACATTTTCAACACAAACTGAAGCTACAGACTATATTACAATCTTCTATTCTGGGAGAAAACACAAAGAAAAATTGTCTTGGATCACTTTAAAATGAACACTTTGATGCAGTTTGATTTGTACTTTAAAGTGCATATAATAGGTTTTGATGATTCTCAAATTTCTACTCAGTTTGGCGCTGTAATACCTGTTGTAAATACAAATGATAATTTTACACCAACTGAGAAGCAGTTTGTGAACAAAAGTTGAAAAAGATGTTGAAAATTACAAGAAGTGGAGTTCTGTTTTAGACAGTCCCATACTGATAACGTCATATTTCTATACAAAATTTAAGACCAATTTATACAGTATTATTCGGACTATAAGTTGCTCCGGAGTATAAGGAAATTTATTTTATAAAATCAGAGACCAGAAACCGACATTTCATCTTGAAAGTCAAGTTCTAGTAATAACAATAGAACAGAGAACAACAGACTGTTAATGTCACATATGAACAGTTCTTCAGATAAACTATAACATAAACTACAGAACAGAACAAGTTTAACAAACTCTCCATCTCACTCCAAATCACTAAATCCATTCAATTCTTCATCCTCAGTGTCACTTCTGAGCAACTCCACGACCTCTGGAGGTAAACGGAGCGTCACTTCCTCTTCTGTGTAGCTGTCATCAGACTCAGCATCAGTTCCAGTTAGAATTATTCCGGCCTTTCGGAATCCCGACATGGTTTTGGTGTCACTGAAGTCCAGGCTTTGTCGATGCATCCAGTAACTTCCAGAAAGGTTGCATGGTGCACCTCCCGGTGTCACAAGTTTCTCGCTCACTCCAAACTTTCTTTGTGCTGCTTGATTACCGTTTTCGGCTTCAGATTCCACTACTTGCAGCTTGTATTCTGCAAAAAAAAAAATATATATATATATATATATTTTTTTTTTATTAAAATTTAAAATTAAAAATTTTCAGTGGTACAGAAGTAATGGTGCGATCGACTGACATGATACAGACAGGACAGAGGCTCTTTCTGTAGGAGACATGTGCAGTAGAGCCAAGTGACAGTGGTACAGGAGGAACACAAGACTAGAGCCTCTCGCAGCTGTCACTGTGAAAAATGTAATATATAAGTCACACTGGAGTGACTGCACTGCAGGAAACACCCAAACCATGAAAAAAAGTGCCACTTACAGTCCAAAAACTACGATACTTAAGAAACAAACTTTTCTGATACTTTAAACATGATTTCAACAAAATGCAGGCAATTTTTAATTTTCAAATAATAATCTCTGTGTACATTGGAGGAGTTTTGGCCCTGTGTACATGATGCTTACCACGCAACAGTTATGGAATTCCCTTGCATGATGTCATGATTTCCAACCATGAAGTAAAATTTGAAACCTAAAAAATGTCCAAACAGGGAAAGAAAGGGTGAAATGTTTTGTAAAATCTTAAATGCGTTTTAGTCAAATGTGTAGTCCAGCTTGTCATAGGCACTTTAAAATGCAGTCACATCTGGAGTCCTGCAGCCATTTAGAGTTGAGAGAGTTTAGTGATTATATTCAGTGTTCCTCACTCAGAGAAGAGCGTTATAACTCCACAACAGAGTACTTTAAAAGTGCCCAGGTCCTTCCAGCTCCATTTTCTCTCACCATTTCACTCCAGCAGCTGCATTTTGTGATAATAGCTTCAGATGAGAGGCTCCAGGATTAGATCGGTCTCACACAAGTGGAACGACCGACATAAACCAGGAAAAAGACTGCACTCAAACACATGGACTCAGGATATTTGCTTTTAGAAGATTAAAGGCGGTCTCGTAAATGTGTTTGAAGAGATGTAGACAACTTTCCTACATCATTTCATTCCCCCTTAAGGTGCACTGTGTATCTTTTCTGGTTGGGTGTCAGCCATCTGCTCGTCTCCATGGTGATGTTTTCCAGATTTAGTCATTTGTAATTGTCAATAACCAACTTGGGTGTTTTTAATGGAGAAATCTAAAGTCACCAATCTGGTAGGAAAAGCATGTGGTTTGAACGAAGTTGGAGAATAGAAATTTACTACTGTATTTTTCGGACTATAAATCGCACTTTTTTCATGGTTTGCGACTTTTACTCCGGTGTGACTTATATATTAAAATTTCCTCGAGACTGTTCCTCCTGTACCACTGTCACTTGGCTCTACTGCGTATGTCTCCTGCAGAAAGAGCCTCTGTCCTGTCTGTATCATGTCAGTCGATCACAACATTACTTCTGTACCACTGAAAATTGTAATTTTAAGTGACTTCAGTGACAACAGAAACCATCCTGTTGGGATTTAGAAAGGTCAGAATAATTCTAACTGGAACTGATGCTGAGTCTGACGACAGCGATGCAGAAGAGGAAGCGAAGTGGAGTCAAATGAGATGGAGAGTTTGTTAAACTTGTTCTGTTCTGTTGTTTATGTTATATTTATCTGAAGAACTGTTCATATGTGAAGTTAACAGTCTGCTGTTCTCTCTTCTATTGTTATTACTAGGAATGTAACAATAACAGAAATAGTGTGAAATCCTATCATCTGAAATCTCATAATAACATCGTGGACTGTCACAATATATCAAATTATTTATAAGTTCCTTTGCTTAAATGCAGGTTTTATAGTAGCAACAGCTTAAGAACATCGGAAACTACATCTCCCATGATTCATTTCAGTGCAGACAGCATGAAGGAATCTGTTTTTTACTTGAATTCTTGGGATTATGATGGAAATAATTCACACTAAAATCTTGTCAAGGTATTTTAAAAGCAAAAAAAGTCTCCTATCTACAATTATATCAGCCTCTCCAAAATATCACAGTAAATATCGTAGCGTGAAATGCGTATTGTGATAATATCGTACCGTGAGATTTGAATATCATTACATCCCGAGTTATTACTTGAACTTGCCTTTCAAGATAAAATGTCGGTTCCTGGTCTCTGATTTTATAAAATAAATTCCCTCCAAAAAGTGTGACTTATAGTCCGGTGTGACTTATACATGTTTTTTTCTTCTTCATTATGCATTTTTTGGCTGGTGTGATTTATATTCCGGAGTGACTTATAGTCTGAAAAATATAGTTTATAAGTTCCAATATTTCGCAAAACAGACCTGGAGTTGTGTTTTGTGTCATTCACACAAGTTTGAGTGATCCTTTATTTTTAGTCAGTTTACATCTCCAAAGCTTAAAATGTTCTGTTCCACCTTGCAGTAGTCTTCAAATTAACAGCAACCTTTAGTTCAGTAAAAATGGCAATTCCAGGTCTGAAATGATCTTGTGAAGGTGTATGGAGTTTACAAGGAGAAGACCTCAGCCTAAATATGCAATATGCAAAATGCAAATTTGCGTGTTAAAACATTAAACCTTAGATCAGAAAACAGCGTAGTATGAGCCATTTTAATTGCAACGATCTTTTTAATGTTCAGAATTTATACTGAAAGACAAAAACCTCTCAATTCAACTTCAGTTTTATTATTATTATTTTATATTTTTGTGTATGACCAAGAATCTACCTTCAAATGATTAAATTTCTGGTGTGTATTGCTACAAAAAAACAAAAAAAAC